TTTAACAAAAAAGTAATATCGATAATGAAAGCGTTAATTCGGCATTTTCCTTTGCCAATCACCAACTAATGTATTATGTATTCTTACTGTTTCAAGTTCCATAGCTTGGTGATTTTAGGTTGTTGTTGCGAAGACATTCAACGAGGAAGTGATTGACGTGCAGAAAGATGTGCTGATTGAATTTTATGCGCCATGGTGTGGTCACTGCAAGGCGCTTGCACCAAAATACGATGAGTTGGGCAAAAAATTGGCCGATGAGCCGAATGTTGTAATCGCAAAAATGGATGCTACGGCAAATGACGCACCACCACCATTTACTGTGGAAGGGTAAGAGACTTTACATCGTTCTAGAATGCACTCGAAGTTTGATTTTCAGCGTTTTTCCTTTTGCTGGAAGCAAAATGAGATCACAGGGATACAAAGAAATCAAAATAAGCTCAATTGGATACGAAGATGGGCGCGAGCCGTGAGTAGAAGCAAAATGAGCTTGAAGTGAATTCAAAAAAAAAATACAAAAAACGAAATTTCAAACTATCTGGTGTACAATCCGTTGTATGTCGTCTCCGGAGAACGGAGACTTGGGGCTATTTTTATAGTCTGATACGTGGGACAGTTGTTTTTCATCGTTGTATTTCTTTTAGTCACTCGTGGAGCTGATAACTTCATTGTTCTCGGTCTTGGATACCTCTCTTCCGCATAATTCCACATAGCCGTTCAAACTGACCCTTCCGCCACGTTGTGTTCTTTCGACGTTGCGCGAATCCTCCTTTAATAACCCTCTTTGTCGATCTGTTGCTTCGTTTTTTCCCCTTCATAGCCAACTCAACTCTGCTTGCCTCATTGCCTTGATAATGGCGTTGAGGCCAAATTGAACTCTCAGACGTCGTCGTCGTCGTCGTCATTTCATGGTTCGTTGGATCGACGCTAATTATTTTTTCTCTTCTGCAGAGTGCTGTTCCATGTTTCATCGTCATACAACAGAAATGATAGTACAGCAGAGCAGGGAAGTGTTATTTTCACACTTGAAGTTTTGTGAGTTTCGGGAAAGATATCTCGTAACCAAGTGAAGGCTGTTCATCCAGTTCCTTCTCCTTAGTTCCAAGCCGATCTGGTTTTTTTTGTTCATCGGTATTGTTTATCCCAGTTAGGTCCTCGATAGACTTTTTACTGGTTTTCACGCCTAATTGGCGGTGTAGCGTTCTTCGCCTGCTTTATACTTCCTTCGTGTATTCGAAATGCGGTTTTCTTCACCTTGACAGCGCTTATTCAGCAGGCTGTGTTCTGGACTTAAATATTTTGATCAGTTTTGGTTGCCCGACTTAACGATCTGGTTGCCCGGCTGCGTATTTTCCAAATTTTCTGACTAGCGATGACGGACAGAACGCCAGATAGCCGACTGGATACCCGCCAGCTACTTTGGCATCGGTCTGTCCTTAAAAAAAGATTACCAGCCGTAAGAATTTCCGTAATTGGAAGCGTTTTGGCATGACATTAGCAGTTCCGAGACGTCACTGATGTTTTTTGAGTATCAGCACCTCATCTCAAAATTTACCACTTGTAGACTGCTAGTGAAGTTTCTTGCTGAATAATGGAAACGTTTCCTAAAGAAGCCGGTTCGTACATAAATATTAGTAAAAAAATGATGTAGAAGGGCAGTTGTAAATGATTTACGAGGGTAAAATACATGCCAGATTCGTCCTTCGAACTTGATAAAGACGAGTGCTGGTGCAGGAGGCAACAGTAGTTGACATAATTCGGAGACGAGGATTTGAAGTAAACGCTACGCAAAGTGCAGTGGATGGGGG